GTCCCACGCCGGTCACCAACGATACCCTAAAGAATACACAATCTTCTTATTAAAACTCAAGGTCTTTTTTTCTCTTATCATGTTAAATTTTCTGCCTACTCTGCGAGGATCTCACCCTCTCTTGCATCATCTTCACTTTCTCTGTAGTTTCTCGTATGATTTCCGGTCCAAGTATGACATTTTCGCCGGATTCATACCAATATAACTGCGTCCTGCACCTCCGACCATATAACGCTTCAAAAGGTGTCATACCAATACTAGAATAGAAACTATTGTTATATGTAAACTTGATCAATGGAAGGAAACTATCCCATGTACCTCCTTGTTTAAGAACACAAGCTCTCAGTAAATCTTCTAGCGACTGAATAGTCCTCTCCGTTTGACCATCTGTCCGCGGATGATATGCAGAACTCAATTCCAGCTTTAAACCCAATGCATCTTGAAAACTCTTCCAAAAATCATAAGTAAATCTCAGATCTCTATCTGACACTACACTGGACGGAACACCGTGAAGCTTCACAATTACCCGAATATAAATCTCTGCCAACTTCGGTACAGGAAAATTAATATCGATCAGAATGAAGTGAGTTGATTTAGTTAATCTATCAACAATCACTCAAATTGCGCCGTGTCCTCTTGGAGTACTTGGGAGCCCTGTCACAAAGTCCATAGATATACTATCCCATTCCACTATGGAATGTCTAAAGGTTCCAACAACTCTGTAGGTTTCTGATGTTCAACTTTCGACTTCTGACAAGTCAGACATGCATACACGAACTGTGCCACATCTCGCTTCAATCCGGACCACCAAAATAACTTCTTTAAGTCGTGATATATCTTGGTAGCTCCCGGATGAATACTCAAATTGCTTCTATGGCCCTCTTCCAGAACCATCTTCTTCATATCAGCATCATCAGGGATACAAATTCTGCTTCAGAATCTCAACACACCTTAGGCATCCACCTTAAAGTCACTATTTCCAGATTTGTTACTCCCTTCCATTAAATCTACCAACTTCACATCTAACTTTTGAGATTCTTTAATATAATCCAAGAAATCATTGTTAATCTTCAATATCCCTAACCTCACACTCTGCGGTGTCACTTCACATACCAAACTCATGTCTATAAATTGCTCGATTAACTCTAGTTCTATAACCATCATAACAGACATATGTAAGGTCTTCTGACTCAAAGCTTCAGCTACCACATTAGCTTTACCTGGATGATAAATCAAGCCAAAGTCCTAATATTTTACTAATTCCAACCATCTCCTCTATCTCATGTTCAATTCCTTCTGATCAAATAGATACCGCAAGCTTTTATGATCACTAAATACTTCAAACCTAGAGTCATAGAGATAATGTCTCCAAATCTTCAGCACAAACACTACTGCATCTAATTCTAGATCATGAGTAGGATAATTCCTCTCATGAATTCTCAATTGTCTTGCCGCATAAGCGACTACTTTATCATTCTGCATGAGCATACCACCTAAACCCAATTTAGAAGCATAACAATATACAACAAACGGTTCTTCGGGATCAGGAAATATCAAAATCGGAGTCGTTGTCAATCTCTTCTTTAACTCCAAAAAAATCTCTTCGCATTGGATGTCCCACACAAATTTTCTACCTTTACAAGTTAGCCGAGTTAACGGAAGTGCCAACTTAGAAAAACCTTCAATAAATCTTCTATAATAGCCGGTCAAACCCAAAAAGCTTCTAATTTTCGTAGCTGATTTTGGAGCTTCCCACTGTAACACTGCATCTATTTTAGATGGGTCTACATCAATACCATCACCTGAAATAACATGGAAAAGAAAACTGACTTGTCAACCATAACTCACATTTCGACAACTTTTCATATAACTTCTTCTTTTTCAATACTTGCAATACAATCCACAAATGTTCAACATGTTCCCCTTCAGACTTAGAATAAATTAAAATATCCTCGATGAATACTACAACAAACCAATCTAAATAAGCGTTAAAGATGCAGTTCATATATTCCACAAACACTCCAGACACATTGGTAACGCCGAAAGGCATCATTGAATATTCATAATGTCCATATCGAGTTTTGAAAGTAGTCTTCTGAATGTCTCCATCCTTCACTCGGATTTGGTGATAACCTGGTCTCAGATCAATCTTGCTAAATACACGTGCACCCACCAATTGGTCCATCAAGTCGTCTATTCTCGGAAGTGGGTACCTGTTTTTTACTGTAACTTTATTCAACTTCCGGTAATCGACACACAATCTCATACTACCATCTTTCTTCTTCACAAGCAACACCGGAGCTCCCCAAGGCGACACACTTGGTCTCACAAACTTCTTTTCAAGTAACTCTTCTAATTGTTTCTTCAATTCTGACAATTCAGATGCTGACATCATGTATGGTGCCATAGAAATAGGCTTAGTACCAGGTACAAGATCAATAGAAAATTCCACTTCTCTTTCGGGCGGCACGTCCGAAATATCATCAGGAAAAACTTCGGGAAAATTGCACACAACCTGTAACTCGTCAATTGCAGCCTGGTTCTCAATGGATAAGGACGCCATTAAAGAAAACAATTGAGCTTTGTCCCGCAATAACTACTTTAACTACCTGGCAGATAAGAAACCATCTCCCTCTTTCCCTTCAGGAGTAGAAAACCATATTGACTTGTTATAACAGTTAATATGAACGTAGTTATATTCTAACCATTTCATACCCAAAATTACATCCAAACCACTTAACGGTAAACAAACTAGATCAACACGGAAGTCTCTGTCATAGATGGATAAAGGACACTTCAAGCATACTAGAGAAGTAGTCACTGATTCCTTAGCCAGAGTATCGACGACCATCTCCCCACTCATGGAAGATAATACAAGACTCAATTTTTAGCACAATCAACAACAATAAAACAATGTGTGGCACCAATATCAATAATAGTGATTAAAGGAGTACTATTAACGAAACATATACCTCTGATCAAGCGGTTCCCACTGGATGTATGAGTCACAGTCAAAGCAAACACCTTCCCAATGGATCGGTCTTTCTTAGGTTTCTGGCACTGGGCACTGATATGACCTTCTTTACTGCAGTTGAAACATATTACTTCCTTGTGTTTACATTTGGTTATCTCATGCCCGATTTTGCCACATGGAAACACCTCTTCACTTCAGTATTGCATTCGCTACTCCGATGACCAGGTCTTCCACATTTGTAACACATAATACCAGTAGGAGCACCTCTCCCACTTGGCCTCCTACCATCAACAACTTTCTGTTTTCCTTTGTCAGTCGGAGCATTGTAAGGCTTCCCATGATATTATTGTTGCTTGCCCCTCTTTTCATTGACAATTTTGTAGTGAGCCATAATGTCCTCTTCACAAATTCTGCAACTATTCACCAACTCAGGGAACTTACGGATCCTCTGATATCCAATGACCTTCTTGATCTCAGAACGCAAGTCATTCTCAAACTTCATGCACTTAGAGAATTCAGTTGCCTCCTCAGTGTAATGAGGATAGAAGTTCCTCAACTCCACGAATTTGGTAGCATACTCAGCTGCCTCCTCAGCCATCCATTTCCGGTGAGAACCGGTCAGGGGACGGCGTCTAGCCCGTAGCTCTGAAGCCTGCGCCTCGTCAACATAGACTTCCGCATCAGCTCTACCAGTGGTCCGTCCTGCAATAGAACCATTTCTGCCTCTGATTCTCAGCGCAAAAATAAGAAAATATTAGGAAAATATAAACTACTGAAAATTTCAAAATTTTCAGTATTTTTTCAAAAAAATTGAACTATCGGAATTTCAAAATTTCCAGTATTCTGTGACGTACTAGAAATTTCAAAATTTCCGGTATAAATGGTTAATGAAAATACCATATATTTTGAAATTTCCGATACGAAAATACTTGATATTTTGAAATTTTCGGTATAAAATTCCGGAAATTTCACAAATCTAGTGTAAATTCTTACTTATTCACGAAATTTCCGGTATCGCCTAAAAATTTAAAAAATCATATTGATAATATGAATTTGAAATTTGTGATAAATAATTTAGATATAAACAATTTAGTATTTACATATCATTTAAGAATGTCATGTATAATGCCAAGGATGACAAGTTAACTTCTCAACAAAAACCAAATGGCCTGAATTGCAACTGCACACCCGTCTCACGGGCCTCTCGCGGGTGAGGCAGAACTTATATAATGCAAGTTGATGAGATTTCTAAGATAAATTCTACAATAATTATGCACAAACAGCATACATGCTCGCTTTTCTCCGACCTTAGTTTTTTTTAATCGGTCGTTCTCAAATAGGTATGTGTTAATTCTATAATTCAATTAGACAAATTTGATCCGCATCTTATAATATACGGTGTACATTATTATTAGCATTTTATTTTGCTGGAAGAAAGAAAAACAATTAATTAATAAAAATGATCTGTCTAGTTATACTAGTAATGAAAAAGAAGAATTTGAAACAAAGTCAAGTCAAAGATGTAGCAAATTAAATATGGCCATCAAACAAGATCGACTCCAACATACTTTATTATTAGTCTTTGCCCAATAGAATTTCCAATCTATTTTCTATTCTCTTAAAACAAAATTCCAGTATTTGACATATACTTTGGTCAAATGCCAAAATTTGACCCAAAAAAAAAATGTTACTATACATGTAAAATTGGATTAGGACCCAACCAACTGTCTCAAGAACTTCCTTAAATTCTTTTTCTTTTCAAGAAAAGGCAAATATTCAGAAAAAGAAAAAAGTTTGAACAAAGTTTCCTTCGACTTCCAAAGCCAAGAACAATTCTTCCCTTCTTATACCTACCATCACCACCATGCATAAATACCAAATTTTGATCTCTAACCTTGTTCATTCTTCAACAAATTTGTAACATACACAAAAGGCCAAGAAGAAAATAAACACTTTACATTACAGTTTCTTCTTTCTTTTTTTTTTGCATAAATAATTCCTAACGTATATTATTATACACTTCATCATGGCTCTTCCAAAACCAGCTTTTAAGTCTGGCCTATTTCTTCCGTCTAACTTTACCTCTCGTTATGCTACAAACTCTCTTCCTAGGTAATGTATATTTGACTTTTTTAAGGCTCTACCAACTTTTTCATATGCTATGTTGTTTTGGTTTTGGTTGTGGCAAAGTAATGAATGAAGAGTTTTGGTACAGGTTCAGCATACCAAAGAACTCAATGCCAAAAGAAGCCGCGTACCAGAAGATACGCGATGAGTTGCAGCTGGATGCTAATCCAAAGTTGAACTTAGCTTCCTTTGTGACCACAACCATGGAGGAAGAATGCAACAAACTTATCATGGAATCCATCAACAAGAATTACGTTGACATGGATGAGTATCCAGCTACCACCGATCTTCATGTACTTCATCGCTTTCGCATGTTATAATTATAGTTATTTATATTGGTATATAACTATATATTTTCCTCACCTTGTTTATATCTTGCAAACAGAACCGATGTGTGAACATGATAGCGCGTTTGTTCAGTGTTGAGATTGGAGAAAACGAGAGTGCAATTGGTGCAGGAACAGTTGGATCATCTGAGGCCATAATGCTGGCAGGACTTGCATTCAAGAAAAAGTGGCAGAACAAACGTAAGGCTGAAGGAAAATCTTACGATAAGCCCAACTTGGTCGCTGGGGCTAATGTGCAGGTGTGTTGGAAGAAATTTGCTAGATATTTTGAGGTGGAACTGAGGGAAGTGAAATTGAGAGAAGATTACTATGTAATGGATCCTGCCAAAGCTGTTGAGATGGTAGATGAGAATACAGTATGTGTGGCTGCAATCTTAGGTTCAACTTATAATGGAGAATTTGAAGATGTGAAACTCTTGAATGATCTCTTGTTAGAGAAAAACAAACAAACTCAGTAAGCAAAACATAAGCCAAATTAAATATTATATCTCTCAAACATCAATATATTGATTCACTGATCATAGTTGTGAATTTATAGATGGGATACACCAATTCATGTGGATGCTGCAAGTGGTGGTTTTATTGCTCCTTTCTTATATCCAGAGCTAGAATGGGATTTCAAACTTCCATTAGTGAAGAGCATAAATGTTAGTGGCCATAAGTATGGCCTTGTTTATGCAGGAATTGGTTGGGTTATATGGAGGTCAAAAGAAGACTTGCCTGAAGATCTTATTTTCCATATTAACTACCTTGGAGCTGACCAACCCACATTCACCCTAAATTTTTCAAAAGGTGCATAAAAACCATATCTCTTGATCTTTCATTACCGACACTTCTGAATAAATGAGTGTTCAGTGTCTGACACATGTTCATCACATATCTTAAATTTAACCTTCCAACTCCAGGTTCAAGTCAGATAATTGCTCAATATTATCAACTAGTTCGTCTTGGTCAAGAGGTGAGCCTAAGAAAGATATTTTAGTTTGATTTACAACCCTGTCACTCCCAAGACATCAACTAACTTGTGTATGCATGTCTTGCTAGGGTTACCGGAGTATAATGGAGGATTGCAGAGAAAATGCAATGGTTTTGAAGCAACACTTGGAAGAGACTGGATACTTTAACATACTCTCAAAAGACAATGGAGTTCCCATGGTAGCATTTTCTCTCAGGGACAGAAACCAGTATGATGAATTCAAGATATCGGAGATGTTGCGACGCCATGGTTGGATTGTTCCGGCCTATCCAATGCCAGCAGGTGCTCAACATATCAACGTGCTTCGTGTGGTTATCAGAGCTGACTTTTCACGCACACTTGTTGAACGTCTTGCAGTTGACATAAAGAATGTATTGCATGAGCTTCAGAAACTTCCCCTCAAGATTAAGGATCAGAAGTCATTGGATGCATTCACTGAAGTCATTGCTCAAGAATCCAACAAGTGTCAGAAAATCATAAAGAAAAGAATCTTAATTAAGTAGTTTGTGTTCTAACTCCAACCAAAGTTGGGCCTTTAGTTATATTTGTTTTATTTTTCAAATCATTTACCTTATTTAACTATTGTTTTGTGTTTATAGATTATATTTTTTGTAACAAGTTTGAGGAAATTTGTAAATTGTAAGTATTCTTGTGCATGTCATGCACTTCTTGTAGTAAGTTTGATGTACATTATGAATTTATACAGAACAATCAAGACAATGACAGAAGAAACACTCTAGTCCAAATCAATGCCTGAAAAATCCTAAGCAGCTTTTTTCTTCTTGTACTTATTGGCAGAAACTATATACACCAACATATTTAAGAAACTAAGCCCAGCTAGAAGCCAGAAAAAATAATGAAGATGACCTTTGTTTAAGTTATCCGGAATCCACCCGGGTTTTCCGCCTTGTGTAGTGAAGTAAGTTACAACAGTGAGAATGAAAGAGCTCAAGTAATTCCCAAATGAAGTTGTCAAAAGCGAGAAAGCAGTGCATAAACTCCGCATTGCATCGGGAGATTGGTCATAGAAAAACTCAAGTTGCCCCACATTTGTGAATACTTCTGCTGCTCCAAATAAAAAATATTGAGGTATTTGCCAGAACACACTAATCGGTACAGCGACAGGTTTATCAACAAGGTCAAGCTCTCTTGCAAGCTGCAGACGCTTAATCTCCACAAAAGCCGCTGCAAACATGCTAAAGATTGAAATAAAAAGGCCGATTCCCATTCTTTGCAACTCTGAAAAGCCTCGTTCTTTGCCGGTGAATTTCCTTGCAATTGGAACTATAATTCTGTCGTAGACGGGAACCCAAAAAATAACACTTATCACATCAAAACATGAGAGTGAAGCTGGAGGAATTTTGAAAGAACCAATACTTGTGTCCATCATAGTTCCTTGTTCCACAAACAATGTGGGCAGCTGGGCATGAACAGAATTAAAAACAATTCCAGCAGCCCAAATTGGAAACATTCGGATCAATATTTTCAATTCCTCGACCTGTGTCACAGTGCAAAGTTTCCACAAGTTAAAATTGTCGCCGTTTTTCCTCTCAGCATCAGACACTATAGCTGCTCTATCAAGACACCTTCATTAAAACAATAGACATCGAAGAACATCAGTGGACCGACCAACAATTACTTGGACGAATTAATAGTAAACTCAAAGTTAATTAAACAATTACCGTAGCTCATCGCTATGTTCCAGTTTCCTACTTCCAAGAATCGCAGATCTCTTGTCCGGTGTCTCGTACAAGAGACTACTATCCTCGGGGACAACCAGTCGCCGCTTCCGAAAAGATGCTACAACAACTTGTAACATTCTTGTAATAGGGCTTCCCCCTGGTTTTTGAAATCTGTAGAGGGGCGTGCCTAAAAAGAAGCTTCCTGTAGCTAATCCCATGAATAAAGCGGGAATGCCAAATCCGATACCCCAGCCTGCATTTTCTTGTGTCCATACAATAAAAGTGCTTGACACAAAGGCACCTATGTTGATAGAAAAGTAAAACCAATTGAAAAAGGATCCTTTCTGAATCCTTTCTTGGGGATCAGTATCATCAAACTGATCTGCCCCAAATGATGACACGCATGGTTTAATACCACCGGTACCAAGTGCAATCAGGTAGAGACCAAAGAAGAAGATAGCATATTGTGCAGGAGTAGCTGGAGGGCACACTGAACCAAAACACTCTGCAGGCTTCAATGCTGGAACTGATGCAGAAAGAGTCAATGTACACATTCCCTGCATGAAACAACTAGGTTATAGATTGAAACATGTAAGAGAAGATATTTAAACAACAAAGTATAAAGAAGCAAAGGGTGTGCAGAAAAAAATGATGACAAAGAATACCAATAAACATGCCGATACAACTTCAAAGTAAAAGAACACATTCATTGGGAATTATATTCAATCAAAAGAACACCTTAATTATTCGTCGTTAAAAACTTCAATATAGAGTAGAATTAAATCAATGCAATCATGAAAGGAAGAAATTTGGATCATAGTACATTCAAAGTAGGTTTTCATATCCTCGCTTTTCCAAATTTCTTTGACAAATTTTCCTTTTCTTTAGTCCATATTTCGTGACTTTGCCCATAAATCTTACTCAAATATGAAACCTTGATACAATGCAAGCATGTTTTTTATTTTAGTGTCAGAACATTTCGAGCACTATAGCCAGAATGAGATGTGTGTGGAGAATCATTAAACTATGAGAATAAAGCCTTATTAGAATGTAATTACAATGAAATAAATTGTGGAGAAAACAGCAATTGTCCAGTATCTCCCCCAGTAAGAATCAGCTAGAACGGCTCCAATGAGTGGTGTAAGATAACAAGTGCCTTGCCAAGTGGTGACATTTCTTGCAGCAGAGACATTTCCTTCATGTAGTTTGTGAGTGAGATAGGTAACAAGATTTGTTCCAATGCCATAGTATGCCAAACGTTCACAACATTCATTGCCTGTGATTCATATTAGACAAAAATGTTACACACACCAGATACATTACTTGATATACATAAGTGAAACAACAACAACAACGAAAACCAAGTTTTATCCTATTAAGTGAAGTCGGCTACCAAATACGTTAATCTCGAGGTCCTTCTTAGATAAACGAAAGGAAAAGAAAAAAGAAGTTACCTAGAATAAAAGGGCAAGCTTTCCAATTTCCAGTATTGAGCTTGAGAACAGGCCTCCCTTTAAAGTCAACTGAACCATCTCCTGTGTATTGGCTGCTCTCTTCATCCTTTAGATACAAAATAACCAATTGTTCATCACAAGCAATATTGTAAATCTTTAGATATTAAAATTACTGGAAAAAATTTCACAACAAGCTAGAGAGAAAGAGGAACTTGAAGAAGAGATTGTTCCACAAGTGATGAATCATTCTCCATAGTTCTGTTGAGAGTTGAGATGCTACAATTTCCTTTTTGAAGTTGTGATTGTTTAATCAATGGAAATCACACTGAGAGGTGGAAAATACAAAAGTAAAATCGAGAGGTCAACGTGAACTACATAAACAACAAACCTCAAGAAAATACTCCCCCCCAAATCCTCATTGTAAAATAATTTTTACAGCATTTTATTTTGTGTTCCATTTAAAAGAAAAATTACAGATACATACAACTAAAATGATGGGAGTGCCCGTGAGATTTTCATGAATCCAATCCACTGTTAATCTGATCCATTAAATTTTCTATTGAATGGCTTAATTAATATACTACCTCCGTCCCTTATAATTATAAGAACTTTTTTAATTTTTTTCTTGTCCCGTTTAAGAAATATGATTTGAATGCAAGGAGTATGTTTTGAAGATTGTCATATATATGATCATAATCCAAGGATCTGCATAACTATTAGCATCACTTTTATAAATTATTTTTAAGAGATATAAACTTAACAACAAAAAACCATATGAATCAATGGCAAAAGATGATTGCTAAATTGTTATATGATGAGTACAAGTGTGAGTTGTTATTCTCATATTATAAATGAAGGTTGAATACTTTATAAGTAAGAGAATCCACAAACTTCAACTTAAGATTTTGGATAAATATGTGGCGTCTCTTTTACTTGTATGTTGCTCTTGATCCAAAACTTCTACTTGAGGGGAGCATCACTACAAAAAAAATTCATTTGCAACGTGAATTTCACGTCACAACATGAAAAATCAAGTCAGTACATATTATTTGTGACGTGTACGTTCACGTGGCTGGGGAGGGGGTGACAAACAGTTTGCGACGTGATTTTCACGTCACAGTAATTTTCATGTCACAAAGTTGTGACGTGAAAATCACGTCGCAACCAAGTTTTATAGAAAACACAACTATGCAGGAAAGCAGGCGCATCAGACGTACATTTACTTTAGTTGCGACGTGTTTTTCACGTCACAAATTAGTGACATGAAAAACATGTCACTAAATAGTTACATTTAACAACGCATGAGCATTCAGCTTTTGTGTTATTTTTATATAAAAAATAATTTGCGACGTGATTTTCACGTCACAACTTGTGACGTGATTTTCACGTCACAACTTGTAACTTGAATCACGTCACTAATATTTTTATTTATTTAATAATTGAATTTGTTTTTCTTTTATATATTCTATTTAATAAATTCAATATGATAAATTAAAATAATAAATTCAATATAAAATAAATTTAATATATAATAAATTCAATATATTAAATTTAATATAATAAAATTAATAAATTAAAATTATAAATTTAAGAATTAATTAGTATGGTATACAAATTCAAATTTGAAAGTAAAATAAATAAAAAATTAAGTTTACGGATCATAATTATCAATGTCAAAATTATCTTCGTTTCTGTCATCCTCCGGCTCTTGACCGCGAAAGTTTGGATTTCCACCAAAGCCTTGCATAAGTTGTCTCATTTGTTACTCCATATCACTTGTCACTTCGCCATGACCTCCATTTTTCGTTGTTGCTCTTGCCTCATTGCCTCCATTTAGACTTTCATTGCCGCCTCACGTTGCACTGATTCGCGTCTCGCCTCATTTAACGTCAATTGTCTTACCGTTTCAAATTGTTCTGGTGTCAAATTTGGTTGACGTGACCCCCCTTCCCCATCTCTAACTCTTTGAAATAGAGTTCTATCCCCACTTCTCAAGGTACCCGCCAAATTTTCACCACCAAAAAAATAATTGTTAGGGCCTTTTCCGCCAATGACTTGATCCTAAATATAAAAGTCCATATCTGGATGAAGCGGCTCTCCCTCACCCGGAGTATATTGAGGATTATGACTCAGAAAATTTGCGAGCAATGTCTGATAATCCTCTTATACATTCAATAAAAAATAAAAAAATTAAGTTAAATATTTAATAAATTAAATTAAATTAAATTAAATTTAAAAAATTGTCACGTGATTTTCACGCCACGACTTCTCAATTGCCACGTGATTTTCACGTCACAGTTTCTCAGTTGCCACGTGAAAATCACGACTTAAAATTGTCATTAAATAAAAAAAAATATAAACAACAACGTAAATTAAATAACTTACGAAAGCTTTTAGAGTGCGTTCGTCAACAAAATCCCCAGTTTTCTTTGTCCGAATCTTTTTAACCAACTCAATCATCAATGGAGGTCTCCCTAAATTCTTGGTCTAAATAATAAAATTAACATTAATTAATAAAATATGAATCAAAATATGACTTAAAAAGTGATAATATTTATCATGCGTCGAACATGCTCTGCGGTACTTATACTTCCAACTACATTAACGCAACCCCTTTTTCAGATGCCCTCATCTTCTTAAAATTTTCAGATTTAGCCCGAAATTCGGGTGACTCCCAATATTTAAGAAGTTCCTCAAAAATCTTTTTCCCTATCCAATTGGGACGGATACCCTGAAGTTCCCAATGCTCTCTAACACGACGCATTATGTCAGAAAATCGTCTTGAGGTTCTGCCATAATATTTTTTTATCATCTTGTTCAATGGGTCCCACACACATTTTTCCGGCAATATTATATGATATTAAAATAAATCGTTAGATAATTATAATGAAATAGTCATTTAAATAACAATAACTAAAAATAAATTAATTATACCTTAAATTTGTTAAACCAGGCTTCCTTATTTTTGACATCTTTGAAGGTCTTCCAAAATTATTTATACATCTGCTGAATTATATAATTTATAATCTTGGCAGCAGTCCGACTCGACGAGAAACTAAACAACAATAATTTGAATTAGTTATATTAAATATAAATTTATATTAAAAATGAAAATGCATTATCTTAAATAAAAATTTATAAATAAGAAACTTACGAGTTTCCTTCGGGTCAAATCCAAAATCTCCCGTCAATGATATGAATCTCACTCGGATCATCATTCCCTCGAAGATCATTTCCATCCAACACATCATCATCCCCATCCACATGATCATGATCATCATCATCATCCGGTTGCGCATGATCGTCCTCATGTGCAGGTACATGTGGGGGATGTGGGGTGCGGGATCCTCCAGTCTGTGTGGGATGTGGGGTGTGGGATCCTCCAGTCTGTGTGGGATGTGGGATGCTGGATCCTCCAGTCTGCTGGAAGGATAAAGGCATTTGTGTGGGATGTGGGTGCTAGATCCTACAGTCTGCTGGAAAGATAATGACATTTGTATGGGATGTGGGGTGCTAGATCCTCCAATATGCTGGAAGGATGAGGGCATCTGTGTGGGATGTGGAAAATTGGATCCTCCAATATACTGGAAGGATGAGGGCATCTGGGTTTGCGGGAAAAGAAAACCAGGTGGCCTACCAAAAGATGGTACCTCATACGGACTAGTAAAAGAAGAAGTCCCATATGAGAATGGCATATTCTGAGAGGAGAGTAATGGCACAAAGGGCTGAGTACTGACCATGGACATAGGATCGACCTGACTCTGCGGGGGAGGGTACGTGGCCGACTGAGATGCCTCACATGTTACTAACCTCGGGCGTTGGGACTTTTTTTTACCACTATCCTTACTCTTATCAATTCGATGTGGCATTTTACCTATTTATATAGAATACACAGTTAATATATATATATATATATATATATATATATATATATATATATATATATATATATATATATATATATATATATATATATATATATATATATATATATATATATATATATATTCATCAACAAAAATACTAAATTTGAAAAATACATTCTCTTCGGTACATATTCATTAACATATTCAATAGATGATTCTTTATACTCATCGATACATATTTATTAACACATTCAATAAATATTCATTAACACATTCAATAAATAGTTCATTATTCTAAATCTTCATACTCGTCATCCATATCATTCTCATCATTTGATGTGATATTATCCTCAGATCCAAACTCTTCATCATGCTCTTCATCCAAATTATTATCAACCAACAATATAGACGCATCAACTTGATGTCCCTCAACCATTGTATCAGACAAACTTGTAATTTGTTCATCTGCAATCACATTATTAATTTGCTCAACTTCATCAACTTGGTAAGCAGCATCTTCCACTAGATCGCCAGTTTCAATATGACCCAGGGGTTTTGTTTTTATTACAACACACCATCCTCATTTATGTGGTACAAATGAAGGATAAGGAACATAATAAACTTGCCTAACAATATGTGACATTATGAAAGGGTCATACTCTTTGTATCTCCGATCCATTTGAATCTCAACAGTACCATATGACTTATCTATTTTTGTGCCTCTAGTTGGATCATACCATTTACAATAAAACAAGACAAATTTATTTTCCGAGTCCAAGTAATTGTATACCAACTCATAAATATGTTTAACAAAGCCATATAAGTCATCTTCACTGCCATCTGTAACTCCTTTTACAAATACACCACTGTTTATGGTTTTTTTCCCTTCAGTCCATGTTCAGTGTGAAATTTCTATCCGTTCACGAAGTATGTGTGCCATTAATTTGCGCTTTGAACAGGGCCTTCAGACAAGTTTCTCAAATGGAGTATTTCTGGAGTCAATGCAACAATGCTAGATAATCTCTCCTTAAACCATGCTAAAAATTGAGCATGAATGACACCGGATATTGATTGTACACCGACACTATGAAAATAGGCGTTAAATTCCCTAAAAAAGAAACACACTATAAGTTTCAAGATAATAAGTTTTATATTAACACTGCAAAGAAAATTAAACAGTTGTGGTATACTTACTCAAGATATGGTTTAACTTCAAAGCAATTGATCAAGACATGGACATGTGCAGATTGCATTTCTTTTTGGGTCAACCAATGCACACCCTTCTTTCCAGAGGGACGACCTGGGCGCCCAAAGACTAATAAGGTGAATTGACTTCTCTCGTTGACATTTACAGGATTCCGTATGATTCTAGGAGTTAACATCAAGTG